GGTTTCGCGGACTTAAACAGAGTCAAAATTTCCTTGATTTGGGATTTAAAATAAACAGAATTTCTTACATGGTCTTCTGATTTCGCGGACTTAAACAGAATCAAAAATTCCTTGATTTGGGATTTAAAATAAACGGTGACTTGGTACACCTTAAATAATCATTTCAAGTGGGGATTCTCTTAAAAATTAAAATAAATAGTCTCATTTCAATAATGTCACTTAAATTGAAAAAACGTATTTTCCCGTAAAAAAGGAGGTGTGACAAGTAATATTATTAATAGCAATAAAAGCTCAAAAAATTATTTTCACAATTAAAAATAAAGAAGGTGAGGATTTTATAATAATTTACTCAATGTAGGTAATACAAAATATTATTATAAAAGTAAAGGTAGATTTTATAATAAATTTCTAACAGATTATTATTTATACTTTAAATAAAATTTAAATTATTATTTAGAAAATATTTTTATTAATGACAATCAAAATTAAAAATAAGAGAGAAAGTGTAGGGACAAAGATAAAGGGAGGTAAGTTTGTTCAATTAAATCTCCTTATTGGAAAATTTGTACAAATAGGGCAAAAATAACTTTTTTTTAGCTATACATAAATTGTACAATCTTATTGACAAAAAGAAAAGATACTAGTATTGTTGTAAGAGGTTCCAATATTATTTTTCAAATCTAGGTGAGAAAATATAATTTTAATAGCTATTTATTTCATGTTATATTCATGATTATATTTTGTAACAAAATTATAAAAGTATTATTCTATTTATAATTTATAATAAGTAAAATGGCCTCCGGGCCACCTAAACTTGCACTCATTTGTCATACCGGTACATAAACTTAGGAATTTTCCATTTTAGCACTCCTACTTGTTGAAACGAATATTATAAACCACTCTAACCATTGACTACACCTATGTGGAAAGGGGCGCGTAAGTATAATTTTCTTGATCTATTTGTTGATTAAAAGAACAAAAGGACAAAAAAAAAAAGGAAAAATCCAAGCCCCTCGTTTCTTCCGTCACCCTTCCCTCTTTCTGTAAAATAGGAGTAGCCAAATACCACTCCCTTTCACTCTTTCTTCCTTATGTCCCTTGAATCCCCCCTAACTCCTCCATCTTCTCCAATCGCTCGCTCCTCTGCTTCCTTCTCCTCCTCTCCTCCAAATCCTCTTCCCCCAATTTTTTTTTTTTTTTTTTTAGAGAAAATGTGTTATTACTAGTGGTTCCAGGGGATAACTTGAAGGTGTTTTCGAGAGGCATTTCATTATATGGCTGGTAATTATGACGTAATAGCAAGCTTTAATTTTTCTATGATTGTGACCGGTGATTAAGGTAGTTGGAAATAGGTGTTAAGTGATGACTGTGAAAAAAAATGATGGACAAGGTTGGAGGCGATAGAATAGTGGAGGGTTTCTTGCGTGTAGGTGTCAATGGTGAAAGGTGGGCTGATCTATGTTGCTGTGGTGGTGGAGAAGATGATTAAATCTCCTCGTCAATTTAGACTTTCCTTTCTTGAATTTTACTAATCCTTATAGGATTCTTTACTTTATTTCAAAAGGTGTAATTTTTAAACTCAAAAGCAGAGATCAGTGGAAACCCATCTCCAATATTCTTAAACCCAATAACCCACTTATAAATTTACAAGAAATTCAATTGTTCGAAGCCTCTAGAGCCATCGGCGAGAGTTATTCTTCGCCGCTTCTTTTCATTCTTTGCTTATTCTAGTCTCTTCTTGTTGTATTATAGATAAGTGAAAAATATTAGTTCTTACCTGTGATGGAGTTCGACGAGCTACGGTAAGAAGAAAGATAAAGAAATAAAAAGTATGACTTATAAAATTTGGGGGGTGGGGGGGAGGGGGGGATGGAGTTGG